TGCTGAACACACAGTCCTTCCCTCAACCTAAGTGTTTAGGTTTATCCTAGACCAGAAGGGTAAGTGCTCCACCTACTGGTCTGAAACCAGTCTGCTGTTAAATCAGAAGTCTGGAACATTTTGTCTCCCATTTTTCTGGATGATCAGTTCCTCCCTTGGCCTGTGTCTCGCTGCTAATTTTCTCTTTTTTTCATTGGTTATTTTTTCTTCATAAATGTATCAAGATTTGCCCTTTAGCTATGCCATCAAAATGAATCCTTTACTTCCATACCCTCGTCTTCTTCTGTTACACTTTTGGATAAATCTTCTGAGCTCTTACAACTACCTATGCCATGATTAACAGCAATATTAGGGCTACCTTATGGGGATAAAGAACATCTGCATTTTATACTTTGTACTGATACTTTTCTCAAAACAAGTCTTGTTCTTTCTTGAACTTGAAGGCATGTGTCAAGTTGTAGTGCTCTCACAGACATTCTACCATAAACCTCTGTTACAGTGCATTTCAGTTTTAAACCAGGGTCCAACCATCTCTATTTTGCTGCAAAGTGATGCAGAGCCAGATATTGATCAGCTTCTGCAGCTGCTTCCTCTTCCCAGTTTGATTTGTTCAGCCATTTATTTGGGCACGCTGCCTCTTCAGCATGAGTCTTTGTGTTGTGTGTGGAGATACTTCCTCATTATAATTTAAAAGAGGCTGCTCAGTTTCCTCCTCTGCAAAGATGTAGTTAGTTTCAAGGTTGATTGCTGTATTGTTTATGGAGCTGAGTCTGCTTTCCTAAATAATTTCAATAACTTATTCTGCTATCATGCATTTGTAAAAATCAACCTGTGAATGTTTTATACCAGGTCATGTATTTTACAGTCTCATTTCGGTTTCTCCAATGTTTGCTAATGTGTCTACTTCTTTCTGTAGTTCTCCTCTTCTCTTCTCTTTGGCAGCTCAAGGTGAGCAGCTTTCTCATCTTCAGCTCCCATTTCATTCCTCTTTCTCCTCATCTGCAGCTTGTTAGCCCACGACTAGCCTCTCATCAGTCTTCCTTTTCGCCTCATTTAAACCATGTGATTTTTACTCAGATTCATTTTGAGTTTTATTTCCCTGTAGACCAGATTTTTCTCCATTTTGGCAGGAGTTCCTCCTCCTCATCGACATCCTTGTTACTCTCCATTGTGTACTGAAGCATCACATTATGTTTCCAAAAAATAAATCGGTTCAGAATGTGACAGATCTATGGGCCTGATCATCTGCTATACGTGTACACATCCAAATTACAGTTATTATGTATATACAAATGTGTTAAATCCAGAATGATATTTTAGATTGTGTTAAAACTTCATTTCTGCACCAAAGACTGGCAGTGTTGAAACATAAATTACACTCAGTTGTTGCTTTGTATAGAAAACTGTGCATGAGTGTTTCAGTGCACAAAACTAAAGCATTTTTGCCTAATTTTACAGGGCTTTCAGCATTTCATTCAAGAAATGAAAACACTGTCGTAGTTTGAGCCTGATGTAAACTAAATTCATTCAGACAAATCATTCCAATTGCAATGATAATTTAATATTACAGTACTTCAAGGCAGGTCAATAATTTGGCAGACAATTCAACAAACTGAAAGACAGGGGACAGAGTCACCATTCCTGCAAAGTAATGGATCAAAGTATTATATAAGAGAATTGTCAATGAATCAGTCAGTCAGTTTTGGTCAGGGGTCCAGTCAGTCCAGAGTTTGTTCTCCCGACCCAGGCCTGGGATCGAGCGTGCACACACTTCACTATCACAGTAGCATTCTTCTCTCTGTATCACCTTCAGCCTAACTCTTTTTTTCTACAACTTTATTCGGCTGTTATGCCAATTCCCGCACTTGACTTCCTGTCTCCACTTTTAGGAGGCAACGCCCTGCAATGTGCCCAAAGTACAGGAAACAGCTTGGCCAAATTATATAAGCTCATTGTCCAGCTCACATGAACTTGAAAGTGAACACACACGCATTCTATTCTATTACATAGTCCATATTAGCTTGTAACTTAAACCACTACAACACAAAAATAGATGTAAATGGATCTGTTTAAAAAGTAAAAATACTTCATAGCAAAAGTAGGTAAAGCCCTCCTTTTGAAATTTTATATTTTGCTTTTTAGAAACCTCAGCAATAAAATGTGCTTAAAGTATCAAAATGTTAAAGTACTCATTCTGCAGAACTGGATCATTATTATTGATCTACAACCCCATATCAGAAAAAGTTGGGATGGTTGTAAAGTCAAAATTAGAACTGAAAATAGTGATTTCTCAATCATCTGTGTCCTGTATCACATTGGAATCAATACAGAAGCACATTATTTGATGTGATGCCTCATCAACTTTATTCTTTGTTCAAAACTCACTTCAATTCTGCAGCACATGCCAAAAAATTGTTGATACTGCTGCATTTCAGGGCTAGTAATGAGGTAAAACAATGAAATGATGATTCTATTTGAACCAGGTGATGACAAAATGACACCTGACACACTTAATCACTTGTGTCCTCAGTCCCTAAATGTCTTTTAAGTGTTGTGAAAAGGAACGGCAGCATCACACTGTGGTAAATGCTTTACTATCCCAACTTTTTTGGAATGTGTTGCAGGCATCAGAAATGGAGTGAGAGTTTATTTTGAACAAAGAATAAAGATGATGAGGTGTCACATCAAATAATGTGCTGCTGTATTGTTTTCAATGTAATACAGGACACAGATGATTTACACATTACTATTTTCTGTTTTAATTTTGATTTTACATACTGTCCCAACTTTTTCTGACAGGGGGTTGTATTAACTTATATTGCAAGCAGTACTTGGATTTAATTTTAACTACTATGTATAATAATGCTGGACAATTCCAACTCTAACTGATAAAACACACTGGAAGCGATTTTGGAGGCGTTTTCTTTGCGCACCTCACGCTGCAGATAGAATTCCAACAATTCTATGAGATGCACATCTCCCATAGAACCTTCTTGTTTTTTACACTTCATGCCTATTTTTTTCCCCTCTGCTGCATTTAGTGAAGCATAATCTCCACAGTCAGCTTTCAGCTTCTTTCTCTGTAACAAGTGAGGGAGATCAATAAAATCAATAAATCCATAGGCTACATAAAAATGTGATTTCTTCCTGACGAGCTTTCATGAAAACTGTTTTTGTCCAGTACACTTGTGTTGTTGGTTGGTTTATACTGTCCAGCCGCTGTCCTGCTATAGACAGCCAGCTGTTCTGGTGACTTTAAAGACACAAAACGTGCCACTCACCTCTCGCTTTCAGTGTGGATTGAATGGAACCACACTTCAATAGCACTTAGTCTCACTTCCAGTGTGTTTTACCAGTAATAATGCATCATACATCACATATTACATGTTTTCTGTGTAAAATCTTCAGTCATAAAATAAATGGAGTAAAAACAAAATGGAAATACTCAAAGTACAAATAGTGTTGTCAGTGAAGTATGCCATGTGTTTCAGAGTATCCCCTTTAAAAACAAAGCAGTTTAGTTCCACTTGATTGACTAACCCCACAATTCCATGACTTTGCAGGTGTGGACCGTTTCTATGACAACATTGAGGACATGATCGGGTACCGGCCGTTCCCTGTGCTCAAGTACTGCTGGTTGTTCATCACGCCGCTCATCTGTGGGGTGAGTACACCTGGGGTACATCTCACAATGTTGTGTCTCTGTCTGATTCTCTGATTAATGTTTGTTTCCTTTCATGCTTTTAATTTGTTTTTATCATGTTCACTTAGAACACAGACACTGTTTCTTTCTTTCCTGGCCTTTCATCTTTGCTGAATGATTCGTATTTTTCATTTTGCTACATCAGTAACTGTGCTTCAGCTTATATATAAGGAGGAAAGCAGAGGGCATGCTGTTGTCTTTAGCTGAAAATGTAGACTCATTGGTTTTAGATTTACAGACATGATCAGTACAGGAACAGAAAGTACAGTAGATGTATTCATTTGTTTTAGGAGTTAGTCATTTACAAGAAAAAAAATCATAGCCCAAGAAAGTTGGGGGTGGCATATGTTTATTCTTTTGCTGTACATCATTATATTTCAATCTATGTATTTTACCAGGAGAAAAACAGTAGAGGGATATGAAATGCCTAGTTATCTAGTAGGAAAACCCTAATTTCTTCACCACTTGATTCAAGTGTGATTTGAAACTGCACTTCATTTACAGTTAGCCTGAACATTTTCTGTTCCTTAGGTCACACTACTGTATATCATTGTGCAAACACAGCCGCTTAAGGTGTATGGTCATGAACTTGGCTCCTGGGGCGCCACATTGGGCGCTCTACTTGTCATCACTCCAATTATATGCATCCCAGTGTTCATTGTGGTCACACTGTGTAGGGTGAGTTAATCCAAACTCACATTTGGTTCAAATACGGGTTACGAAATTACACTATTTTTCTCAGCATTTACAGTACAGTACTATTACTGTATATTATATATGATATGTGTGTGACTAGCATTTTTTTCCTACCAACCAGAATCCCCACAAGATGACTACTCCATCCAGTGACCTGCGCCAGGCTCGATCAGACAAACCAGTGCTCACACTATGTAAACGCGTCATCTTCAAGGCACAGGGGCCTCTAACCAGAAGTATGGACGAATGCAATGAGAAGATGATGATGAAGGAACCCAGCAAGGTTTGATCCTTATTGATGACACCTATGGTGCATACATGCCATGACTGGACTCTACCTTTCAGGTGAACACAAAAGCCAGCAATTTGAATCTTTTGCAACATGTTATAAATGTTTACACATTTTATGAGTTAAGGAGATTCTTTTGTGTTTTTTATTTGTTAGTAATTTTGTCTTTATCTTACAAATTTTTATAATGAATAATAAAGAAAAAAAAAATAAATATAGCAATTTTTAAAAAGCATTTTAGGTGTATTATTTTCTTATCAGAACCTGGTGCCAATATTACCTGCAATGCAATTCAACAGTTCAGTCAGCCTTGTGTGAGTTATGCTAGTAGTGACTAATGTAGCTTTGAGCTACTAGCCTTAGGCAGATGTGAGGAGTCGGCTGCAGAGGTCTGCTAAGCTGACTTCTCTCTAACTCCACATCCTCTAGATACTTTCAAACATATAGTCATCAGCCTCAACAAACAACACTGTATACAAGAAATGTTTTTTTTTATTTTTGTTGTTGGTTTGTTAGTTGTTGTTTTTTTTAGAACATGAACAATATCTTAGTTTTATACCTGGTGCACACAGTGATGGTAACCTTTATTAATCCCAATAAGGGAATCAGTTTTTTAAATATTCCAGTGCATTGTATCTCCTATGAGTTTGTCCATATTCATTTCTGACCAACGAAGACAAACATTCAATACAGTGAACGGATCTCATGTTTTTGTTTTGTACCAAGAAAACTACAATATTCCTCAGTCTCTGTGTCTTCCTACCTTGTTTTCATCATACCCTTACTGTATCAAAGAATAACATTGTACATAGATTAGAATCCAGCTAATTGGCTGTTTGTATGTGTGAAGTCATAGCATATAATTGGTGTGATTGGTGAGCATGAACTTGTTCCATCCTAATGCCAAGCTCAGTCATCTGTGTAATCCAAACTGGCATTCAGTTAACAGATTCTGTCCAGTTGCCTCCCATGTGCTTATGGTAGAAGCTGCACGTTGCCTCAGGGTGAGTATAAAAGTATAGGTTTACCACTGGTGCAACACTTCCAATACTCATAATTAGAGTATCGACCCATCAGTCTTTACATAACCAGAGTTGCTGTAATGGTACACCATTCTATTGGCTTTTATACCAACAATTGATCAATAGCATACAAATACAGAAGACAACATAAACAAAACAAGGATGTTAAGAGTCATCATGGAAACAATAATTACATTAGATAATTTTGTGTCCTGTGAAGGGTAAAAATATTCATAAATATAGCAATTTTTAAAAAGCATTTTCTCGATTAAGAACTGTATAACTACTTGATTTACTTTACCCACAACTAATAGGTTTTTTTTACCCAGTGTTAGACACAAGCTGACATTTTACTCCTGTTTAGTGTTGCACTTCCATAAAGTTTGGGGGACTACGTCAGAGAGATTATGAAAAGAGTGGTCACAAGCACCAGAAGCCAATATATTGTCTTTTATTTCCTATGGCTAGGCTAACCCCCCCAAAGAAATCATCCTACATTTCCCATAATGCAACATGTTGCATTCCCATAATGCAAATTGTTCAGTACATCTCTAGTTGGTTGCTTGGTTTCCCCAGTGTACAAGTCTGGGCATTCCTCTCTGCACTGAAATGGATATAAACTACATTCCACTGTTTATGACTGGGTGTTTTGTTCTTAGGGTGCACCAGCGCCTGCCTCAGCATGTTTGCTGGGTTTGAAATACACAGGGATGTGGTGTTTGTCAGAGATTCTCCTGAGCTTTTACTCCAGTGTATGGAATGACAGTGTCGTGTCTTTTTCTTTATTTCTGTTTCTCTGTGTGTGTTATTATTCTGTGTTTATTTTAGACAAGAGAAAATTCTTAGTTATTTGATACACTAAGGATCTATCCGATCCATCTGAGAGCACTGTGAATTCAAACTCTAAGATGTTTTTTGTCTTTCCAGTAAAGTTTATGTCACATATCATGCACATATTTTTTTTTTTTTTTTTTTGCTGTTTTTCATTGCCTTTTGCTTTTATCAATACATCAACTTTTCCAACAAGTGTAAAAGTGTTTTGCAATATTTTTTTTTTATTTTTTATTTGTGGCATTGTCATTCAGTTTTTAAAGTGGCCATGGCATGTTCGTTTCCAGCCATTTAATGTTTAATATTGGGTACCTCTAGATTACCTTTGCACCCATCATAACCACAAATAGTCTGTAATTATATCAGAACAATAAAACCAAAGAGCCTCTCCCTAAAACTAGGGGATCGTTCCTGATTGTGCATAACTCCTGCTGCCAGAGTTGTGTCGAAATCCTACCTGGCATGTTCGAGCCAGAATATGAAAGTGGACATCATGATGAACTGCAACAGTATTAATTAATTTGAATTTGTCCTCCACAGATATGTAAACAACGGTTTATGTACCAATGAAAAGAGATGTATAACACTAAACAAAACGGGTAATTGAGAAACCCCGTATTTTAACTGGCATTATGCAGACATAGCAACTTCTTCAGCCTTACAACAATTCTCTGTACAGAAACAACATATTAACAGATATGCAACGTGTTTTTTTTTTTTTTACTTAGTGTTAAGTCCCACTGAGTAGTGGAAACGTCACTCCCTTTTGAGTAGCTCCAAGGTCGGTAAATCCAACCAGTTGTCACTGCGTCTTCCAACACACGATCACATACAGTCCCAAAGTAGTGAAATTAATTCTAACAGGTAGCGTTGCACTGACAATAACATCATGATTTGTTACAATTCTCTCACCAACCCTCAACAGATCTTGTGTGGCAGACACATTCCAGAGGAATCCACCACTGATGATATCCACAAAACTGTGTGCAGTTGAAAATTTCTGCTTCTAAAATGGCAACGGTGTATGTCAGGCAAGCTCACATGAATATGCAACTGCCTGGAGATTATGACCATTCAGGGATATCCTTAAATTATCATGTCTGACTTTACATTGTTGGAAAAAAAGGTCTGGTGAGAGAGAATTTGCGAGACGTATAAACTGAGTTGCTTCTGCATAGAGGTACTAGAACATAGGTACATCTCATTTTTGAGCTTTAAGTCACATCTAAGATGATAATTCACTGTCATAACATTGTAGATAAGTCAAAAACAAAGAAAAGCATGCCATGGGCTCTTTAATGTGCAAATCTGAAATGTGCAAAATAAATAAACAAATGAATTACAATTTTAAAAAAATTGTGTTTAGAAATTTTTACTATTTTTACTAACTTTTTCTTAACTTTTTACTATTTTTACTGAATACATGTCAGTGAATGATTGTGCTGGCATAACATGTATGACTCATTGTTGCATTTATGTCTGTCATTACATGTCTTCATCACTGTTTAACCTCTGATTGTTTGCTGCGTTCAGCAAAAATTCGAAAAGGACGAAAGGTGAGACAAAGGTTCTTATATTTCAGTCAGCCGTTTGATCAAAATCACCATAGATGAAGGCAACCCTGAATGCATCACATTAACAGTCTGCAAAAAGTTCCTCACAGCATGGATTGTATTTCTGCTTGATTGCTTCTTTAGGGTTTTTTTGGTGACCATGCCTTGATGTGATTTACAGTATTTTGGGGCATATAAAGGACAGTGGCTTTGTATTTAACAAGGTCATGTGGATTTGAGACATTTACAATGATAAACATGACTCAGGGGTAATAGAAGGAGAGCAGAATGAAATGGAGAAAGGGGCTGTTGATAAATCTCTAGGGAGGAATAGCACACTCTGCAGCGATGCCAATAGAGCTGCTAGATTCATGCATCAAGCAATCTATAAATGAAGACATCTCAATGCCTTCTGTCACTTCTTTTATCTCTTTGTTTCAGTTTTTCATTTGATCTCCAGCAAAGGAACAATCTTCCTTGGCTTCTTAGTTATTTTCCCTTTTCTATATATCTTTTCATCTCATTCCTTATCCAACCAGACACCACTGCAACATTCTGCTTCTACTTTTTCCTCATTTTTGCGGTGACTTCTCTGCCTCTGTCTTCCTCATTATCTTTTTTTTTTCACCTGTTCACTGTCATTAACATCATGCTCCCTCTGATGTGCGTCTTGTCTTGTGGAAATTTATGTGATGTACGCTGGCCTACGGCATTACTGGCTGAAAATGTTAGTATGGTAATATTAGTTTCCCATATATGCATGCCAATAGCCTCTGGGTGTTCCTTGCTTTGTAAAACTCCCCACACCGATTCACAGATTATGACGTGCTGTGAATTAAAGGCAGCTCACAAGGAGGCCTCAAAGACACCGGTTTCCCACTTTTGTTATTGACAACAGAACGCCTGCAGAACAACCCATTTGGCAACATCACTATTAACTTACAGCACAGCATTTTTGTACTGTCAACAAAAATGGAATATATTACACTCTCCTGTCAACTACAATAAATCTAGAGCAACTTATGTTACCCTTGGAGACATTAGTTCAAAGACACATTGAGAATATACAGAATTTAACATTTTCAAAACTACACACATGCTTTAAATGCGAGACATTATTCCGCTTCTTGAGAAATTACTTGGATGTTGCTCCTGGCACGCATTACACAGTGACAGGATGGGAGCTCATGCAAACAAATGACTCTGTTGCTAAAGTTGATCTCTGGGCATGCAGACTCAGGAAATCTCAGAATATATATCCAGTTAAGTTTTTGTTGAAAAGTAACAAGATATTATGATGGATTCGTTGCTGCCGTACCTCACAAATGGAGCAACAAAGTTTTATATACAGTAAATAACATGTCCAGATACAGTATGTTGAAATACACATTAAGGTTGTTATAAGAATGGCGTTAGATAAAACACCATATGATGAAAGGCTTTGGGTTTGTTTGTGCTGGTGTATTCTTTCTATTTCACTCTAAATTTGGTCTCAGAGCTTTAATGATTTAAATCTGCTACACAGAAGATCTTAAATTGTAATCATAACTTCTGTAAGACCTCTCCAGTTTGTACCCTATTGTTTCTACCCTATAGTTGTCTCTCTCCTAAACTTCAATGCAGTTTTCCCCTCTATCATTTGTTTAGCTTTTTTTATGTCCTAAGGAGAAAATGACCAATTAAATGTAGACATAATTTTCAGAATTTGTTCAAGACTTTCTACCTTTGTCATTCTGCTTCTGTCATTTACATAATCACTCCCTATTGTTCTCGGTCATGGCTCATAATTAGACTCCACTGATCAAGGGATGAAACAGACTGATGAAAACCAGCTTTGACAACTCCAATCCACCCTGCTATCATCATTTGGATCCACATACACAATAAACCGCACCAGATTACAATGTGCTTACAGTGCTCCTAATAGTAATGACTCACTTTGTGTGTAATTAAGCTTCTAATATGATATCACCTCTCTGTTTTGAAGCCCCATATCTACCGAGCATCTGCAAAACCCAGCATACCAATGGACATTGAGTACTGTGCTGCCGGGGCATTGTGGGAATGTTCATTAGTCTTTCTAATTGGCTGGTGATAGAGTATCTGGAGCAGATATTAACCTTAGGAGGTTACTTGCCCCAGGAGAAACAAAAGGGGTTTATGTCTCATATCTAATTCCATTAATATGACCGGAGCCTAGAGTAGGCCTCATTAAAAGACAACATACTGTAGATAACTTCACTGTACTGTGAGTGTAACATTGTAATGTTAGGCCACAGGTGCACTTGGTATCTGGATTAACCAATTAGAAAATGGCCTAGCAAGCATTAAAACATTCCAGTATACATTATGAAAGGATGGATGTACTATTATTGAAGTAGATGTCTGGATGTAGTTGAAGTATTGGCTGCTGTATGTAGCTGTATGGGAAAGGATTTTTTAAAATTATACATAATGGTATATGCTACCAGTCAAACATTTGGGTACCTAAAAGATATAGATATGATACTGGCATGACTGCATTTGTGTTCATACATTTCCAGGGTCTTTGTCAGCAGTTGTCACTTGTTTCATTTACCAAAACTCTGCAAGCTGTTTCACTTATCACCCCCTTCTCTGTTGGGAAATACCATGGTAATAGTGCTGGCAAGAGCTGACCTCTGCACACATGCACACAATACACAAACACACACAGATTGCTGCTGCTAATGCTAAGGATCCTCACCAGAACTGGGTGATAGATAGACTATATCCCCCACGGCCTCGGGGCCTCGTTATTCAGAACTGAGAAGTAATCAAAGCAGACACACAGGTCGAACTTTATTATCAACCACTCAATATGAGCTGCAGGAACAACCACAGGTCCTCCACAGTACAGTAGACAGCAAAGAGGTGCAAAATCCTAAACAGCTTTGTGGGCAGCAGATACTTTGTGGCTTCCCCTAGGCCTGGAGAATCGACCTTTTGCATCTGACATGAAGGAAATAATTTAACTTTTTGGATGTTAAGTTGAAGTGAAGTTTCAGGATTTTATGCTGCTAGTGTGGCAAACTGAAACTGATGACCTGATGAAGGACTCGGAAATCTGTCAGGTAGGATGCACCTTGTTCCAGCTCTCCCTTCCTTTGCTTGTGTTTATAAATGAAATGGTTAATAAAGTTAGCTTTAGATCAACAGACCATTAAAAGTAATCCTCATCAGTTTGAATTCATTAATTAGATGAAACAGTTTAATAGTTAATAGTTAACTTACTGTACTTAACAGACTAATATCAAATGTTTTGAAATCTCCGCTTTCAAGATCCACTGTAACATGCTCTGGACCCAGATTTACAAATAGCTAACCAGTAGGTGGCTTTGATCAGCTGACGTCTTCATTATCATGCATTTCGCATTTAAACCAGAAAATGTGTTTTCTTTGTTGCATCTTAATCATTCTTCATATTTTCCTGTGCAGGAAAACTAGATTTTTTGCTTTATTTACTTAGAGATTTATATGGTAGTCATAAGCTTTACTTTGAGAGCCAGTTGCCCTAGTTTATTAAAGCGCCGTCAAAGCCCATATAAACACCTCAACATCAGTAAATTGTAGTTTAAGTACTATTTCCCTCCACTAAAATACTATCAAACACAAGTAAAAGCTTGACATGTGGCTCATAAATAATTGCTGTAAAACACGTTGTGTTCTTCCACAGCTTCTCTGTACACTGAGTGTCAACACACTGTCCTGAAACGGTCCAGTTAAGATTCATACCCCGTGTAAGAGGCTCAGTGGGACCTGTGAGGACTACCTGTCTTTCTGACCCCACTGGTCTGTAGTATTTCCACAATGGGGAAGACTGGGCAGAGTACAATGGACTCCCCAACAGAGGTCAAACAAGCAGTTCCCTTTGAGGAGTTGGAGCCTGTGGTGCCCCCCGCAGACAAAAGAAAGAAAAACGAAGAGCCACCTGAGAGAGGAAGCTGGAAGGGGAAGTTTGATTTCCTGTTGTCATGTGTGGGATACGCCATTGGTTTAGGAAATGTCTGGAGGTTCCCTTATCTGTGTGGCAAGAATGGAGGAGGTCAGTGCATGTTGTGAGACTGACAGAACCAAAACATTTTGTAGTGGGTCCAATCAGTCTATTATACTGCTAAATGTGCCACTTGTCTTACTGTCTTTATGACATTTGTGTTTATAGTTGTAAAAATGCTTTTATGTTGTCACCTTCTGAAAAAGGTTTCATCAAAGCAATACTTTTGCTTGGTCAATTAAAGAAAAATGAAATATTTGGTATTTTAATACCCCATATAATACACCATAGCAGTGGTGGAAAGAAAATACATTTACTCAAGTACTGTTCTTAAGTACAATTTTGAGATGTCTGTACTTTACTTGCATATTTTGATTTTGTGCTACTTCATACATTGACTTCACATAGTCTTAGAGGAAAATATTGAACTTTTTACTCCTCTATGTTTATTTATAACTTTAGCTACTAGTTATTTTTCAGAACCAGACTGACACCACTATAGTGCCCTTGAGCAAGGCCCTTAACCCCAAACTGCTGCAGTGAAGTTGTTCAGTGGCCACAGGTCAGTCTGTGGTTGTACTGGGCAGCTTCCTGTTGTGAGTGTGTAGCTGTGTGAGTGTGAACAGGACACCCCTACAAAAGAGAGGTGATGTCTGAGTGGACCTACCCTGAATAAATAAAGGTTGTTTTTTTTAAATTATGGTATAATCATAAGACTTTATTGATCTCCAGTGGGAAAGTCACAAGCTACCCAGCAGTAATTAAATTTATATGCTAGTTAAAACTAGCTCCCCCTTTACCAGCTGCAACATTAAAGTGATGAACATAATAATGCAGCAGTAATTGTAATCAAATCATATTTATTAATATTAAATGTGCCAATCTGTTTAGTGAGTACTGTTACTTTTATTACTTTAAGTATGTTTTGATGCTAATACTTTTGCTATTTTACTTTAACATTTGAGTGCAAGACTTTTATTTGTATTTTTACACTAGTTTATTGTTACTTTTATTATACCATAGTAGGAATGATAATACCGGTACTCCAATAACTCATTTGGTAGCAGGGACATTTCAAAACCAATTTTTCCTTTTACCCAAAGCAGTAAGATGAAAATGTTTCATAGGTTATTTGACTGAAATTGCATTATAAGAGTGCGCTTTATAGGATCAAGATACTGTATTTAGCAGCACATTAACATTTAAGGAAACCTTTAAGTCAGTAATGAAATTATCTCTGGGCAGGTATTCTGTAGGAGCCTGGTGTCTCCTGCATGTGAATTGCACAATATTTGAAACAAGACTGTTCTCTAGCATTTTTCATTAAATGCTCATAATAAAGTAGATCTTCAGGCATGGAGCTGTTTTTGATAAGACTGAATAAAAGGATTTGTGATTCTTACTTTAATATTACGGTGATATCTCTTTTCCAGTCTAAAACAAAGAAAAAGAAACTTAATTTGTTAAACATAAATATAAAGTTTTCATAGAGTGTCTAATGTGGTAAACCAAATCACTCTCTGTGACAGTTACGTTATATAAAGTTACTGTATATTAATAGATTAATTATAGCATAGTTACATCAGTATGACTACTTCCCTGACATAATGATAAGTAGCATTCTGTACATGAAACCTCCTGCGGTCTCTTTATCTACACATTTTGTTTATCTGCTTTGTCGTGATCCATCAGGGGCCTTCCTGATCCCATACTTTATGACCCTGGTGTTTGCTGGGATACCTCTCTTCCTTCTGGAGACATCTCTGGGACAGTTCACCTCAGTGGGAGGGCTGGGAGTGTGGAAACTCATCCCTATGATGAAGGGTAAGTTGCTGACGAATAGGAAAATATGGATGTATTGGATATGTTATGAGATTTTGATTTGCACATGTACAGTAAGTTGAGTGTTAGAGCATCTTTCTGAGCATTGCCAAGTACACCACTGCCTCTAAGCCTGAACATGTAACTTACATGTAACTTTGCATGTTAGCTGACATACTGTATAAACACTGACGTGTAGGCCTGTTCCACCTTCAGGCGTTGGTCTGGCGGCAGTGGTGCTGTCCTTCTGGCTCAACATCTACTACATTATCATCATTGCCTGGGCACTCTACTACTTATTCAACTCATTTGATTTGGTATGTTTCATAAACTATTATGTCAACTGTAAGCCTGCAGCAACAGATTATTATTATTATTATTATTATTAATATTTTTATGGCCACTTGGGGGCAGTGGAAACTATATGTGAACACAACATTGACATATCATCACCTCTGGAGTTAATATGGCAAACTTGTTTATTTACACATTTATGCTAAAATACCGAGAGATTATTTTGTCATATTTTTCTATTGCAACCTCTTTGGTTTATGCATATGTCTGTGTATGCAGGAGCTGCCTTGGCAAAACTGTAATAACCCCTGGAATACAGAGAAATGCTTTTCCAACTATAGCCTGACAGACACCAGCAACTTGACCAGTGCTGTCACTGAGTTCTGGGAGTAAGTCAGTGAGATGTGTTCCTTCCATATCTGTGTGTGCATGTGCACAAGATGCTCACTATAAGTGCTGAAGCTATTTCTGAATTCGTTGTGTGTGCGTTCCTGTAGACGTAACATGCACCAGCTGACCAGTGGACTGGAGGAGCCAGGAGAGCTACGTTGGCCCTTAGTGGGTACTCTGGCGCTATCGTGGGTCCTTGTCTACTTTTCAATCTGGAAAGGAGTGGAGTGGACGGGGAAGGTCATACTTTGTGCTAAAATTTCTTTCCATTCTCTCCCTCTGTGTTCTCAGAACTCTTCACCTCAAACTGCTTTTGCTACACTGCACGAAGTCTCTTTTTCTTCCTCATGCATATTTATGCTTTAGTCATACAAATGTGATTAGACACAGAGCTGCTCAGTAGGTAGAACTGATATTGAGTTCATTCTTAATGAGAGGTGCTAAATAAAGAAACAAACATTATAAAGGGTATTAATATATTTTAATAATTACTGGTGTTTGAGTTTTTGTTAAATCATTTATATGTACAGAGTTGCCGTGGTATGAGAATCTTAATTGTGTAATGATATTTATTGATACCAAAGTTGTACTGACAAGTGAAAGCCTGACAGATGGAGTTTAAAAATTACTGTTTAAGCTCACCTCCTGTGTCTGGTTTTCCAGTATTTATTTGTATTTGTCTACAAATCACATTGAAAGGTTTGATGGATCTCTGAATGTGAGCAGTCTGTTTTAATCTTAGTCTGATTTTCTTTAAGCACTTTATGATTTCATGATGCCTCATAGTGGCATATTTTGGTTCATTCTGGTGTTGATACAGGCGTCTTATCTATCTCTGTTTATATGTGCTGTCATCCTGCTGTTTACACCCTATCTCTCTCTCAGCATTTCACTCAGGTGGAGAAATAGAAGATGTTTTGTATGTACTTAATCCCAAATGTTTTGGAGTTGATAGGAAAAAAGAGTTGGGTGGCATGCTGGAACAATGATCAGTGCTGTCACCTCACAGAAAGAAAGTTCCAGGTTTGAGCCCTGGCCGACCCAGTGCCTTTCTGTGCTGAGTTTGCATGTCCTCCCTGTGCCTGTGTAGGTTCTCTCCGGGTACTCCAGTTTCCTCCCACAGACCAAAGACATCTAGCTTAGGTTGACTGGAGACTCTAAATAGCCCCTAGGAGTGAGTGTGGTGTGTGTAGTTGTCTGTCTCTAAGTGTCAGCCCTGTGATAGACTGGTGCCCTGTTCAGGGTGTACCCCGCCTCTCACCCAATGTCAGCTGGGATTCCCCCCACCACCGCTCCTCCACGACCATTGTCAGTCTAAGCATTATAGATAATGACGGGTGGATAGACAGAGGAAAAGAGTTTTAAAAAAGGAAAAACTGTCTGATATTTTGAAATTACAGCAAACTGAAGGCAAGTATGTGAAAACTACATTTACACACTGACATTTTTAATGTGCAGCATCTGAAAACAGTGAGAAAAATTTAATTTTGGCTTTGACAGGAGTTATTTTAATTAAGTTAATTTGAATACCTAAAAACAAGGTTGATTCTCTCTCTCTTTCTTTTAGGTGGTGTACTTCTCAGCCACCTATCCCTACTTCATGTTGTTCATCCTGTTCTTTCGTGGGGTCACTCTGCCCGGAGCCGTAGATGGGATCCTCTTCTATGTTACCCCAGATTTCAATAAGCTAATCCGGTCTGAGGTAGACAGTGTGAAAACATCCCATTACACAAACACAGTCATCAACTTGGTTACATACAGTATGTGCGTCTGTCATTTCACAGGTGTGGCTGGATGCAGCAACTCAAATCTTTTTTTCTTACGGCCTGGGCCTGGGCTCGCTCATCGCACTGGGAAGCTACAACACTTACAACAACGATGTGTACAGGTAGGGACAGGAAGCCACACTTGTTATACCCCATCTTTTGAAAGCCTTCTTTTCATTTCATTCTGTTATTTTCTCTTCAGGGACTCCATCATAGTGTGCTGCATCAACTCCTGCACCAGCATGTTTGCTGGTTTTGTCATCTTTTCCATTGTGGGCTTCATGTCCTACATCACTAAGAAACCTGTACAGGAGTTAGCAGCATCAGGTATAGACAGTCAGTATTGTCTCTGTGTATAATATATGAGCTCAAACTGACTGAAATAAGCTACAAATGTTGACTTTTAGGTCCAGGGCTGGCATTTTTAGCTTATCCTCAAGCCGTCACCCAGCTGCCAATGTCTTCTCTGTGGGCTGTCCTCTTCTTCTCTATGCTCTTGATGCTGGGCCTAGACAGTCAAGTATGAACAGTTCACACAGTAATATTTTGCATTTACTGAGCTGACAGTTTTCTGAGTCTGTCTTTACTGCTGTTTCCTGATACTACCTAAATTACATGATGCAAATTTCAAGTAATTACTGTTATCGCATGTTAAAGGTGAATTCTGCCTATGTGTAACTGCGTACAGTGCATTAGCAAGCAATCAGCTCAACATGCCCGACATTCTGACTGAAATTTCAGTGGTTGAGTTGCACTGTGGGTAATGTAGGCTCTGGATTTTGAGCAGGAACACAAATGCAGACAATACCTTTGGTCCTGTTGCATTGGTATCAATAGATTTTGTTGAGTCAGACAATATCCGATGCTAACTAGGTGAAGTACTATATGTTAATAATAGACTACAGTACATTCTGACCCCTGTTTCTCAATAATGTTGTGTATTAGTTTTGTACCGTGGAAGGCTTCATCACAGCTCTAATGGATGAATACCCCCTGGTGCTGAGGAAGAGGAAGAAGGTGTTCATCTTTGCTGTCTGCTTCATCTCCTTCATCATTGGCTTGTCCAACATTACACAGGTGCTGCATAAACATCTCTTTGTAGATTGCATGCCCTGTTGATGATGCATAATATAAAACACATTTAGAACTCATTTATAGTAAAGAGCAAAAAGTATGCAGGGTATGTTTAAATTACTGCAGTGGGATGTCCCTGTGTGTGACTGCGTATTACACAAAGATTGTTTTAAACCCACAGCACATACATTCTTCTGACAAAAAAACACCCTAACCCTCCTGCATTATACCTAATTACAAAACAATCTGGCAACAACCTGCAGTGTACATTCACCAAGCTTATTTTATTTAGTAAGGAAAGAATATAAATATTCAGCTTCTACAGCAGATGTGTGTGTGTGTGTTGAAATCTCCCAGGGTGGGCTGTACGTGTTCAAGCTGTTTGATTACTACTCCGCCAGTGGCATGTGTCTCCTCTTCCTTGTCTTCTTCGAAACTATTTCCATATCCTGGTTTTACGGTAAGTCTTGTTTTTAACTGCCTATGCTGTTTAAATGAGAACAAATACTGTAGCGGGAAATCAAGTAAACCTGAAAGGAGTTGAGACAATCTGGATAAAAAGGACTGTGCTATGCCAATGAATCAAGCTTGTAGATTTCCTACAGTACTGTATATATGTACCTATCCCGCAGGAATTACATCTATCTGCTCGACTTTCTGTGATAAGACTCTCACTCTAGTTGGCTGTCTCTCACTTTCACCCCACAAGGCTTTGTCCTTGTAGTTATTATCTCCACATTAACATACACTTCCTTATTGTCCTCTTCTCTTTATGGCACAGGAGCTGAAAGGTTTTATAAGAACATTGAAGACATGATCGGTTATCGGCCGTGTGGCTTTTGGAGGCTCTGTTGGTTGTTCTTCACTCCACTCATCTGCCTGGTAGGAACCTGATTATCAATTTAACTTCCATGACTTGCATTTTTCTAAGCTGAACTCTAGGTTGTGCTTCCTTCCCCCTCATGGAGATCTACAGTATGAACCCATTATGCTGTAGCAGGTGCCAGTAAGTGGAGGAGTGTGTGTCCCTAACGGTAATCATGGCTTTGTCCTTAGCTCTACTACTGTAGTGTTAAAGAAATATAATGTTAAAAGAAGCTATACAAATGGAAAATTAAATGTGTCCTGCCAGGTACAATTCACTCCCAGTATTTGATGATTTGCAGGTTCAAAGACATCTTGACATTTAGTTGCATGGAGTCAGGCTGTCAATGCCTCATCAATCTAGACCTTTGTGTTACTGCTACATGTTGAAATATAACCATTTAAACACTGTTCCAAACATCGAACTGGCCAGAGAGCAAATAACATAATCTTATATTGTAGGGGGTGTTTACATTCAGTGCCATTGAGATGACTCCTCTGACCTTGGGGAAGTATATATACCCACTATGGGGCCAAGTGATCGGCTGGTTCATGGCTTTGTCATCCATGGTGCTGATCCCTGGCTATGTCATCTACATGTTCTACACCACTAAGGGCAGCATCAAACAGGTACTAACCTGTCATATGACTCACTGGTTTCTCTGTTTTTAATGTGCTGCCATTCCAGTTAAAAAGAAGTTTATCGAGGACGTAGAGCTGGTGCCAGGAATGTCAAAAAGAGAATAAATAAAATAAATAAAGTAGAACAGGTGATGCTTCAGAGATACTTTTGGACATTTAAGACTAATCTAAAACTGATGTAACTCTTTTTACTGACCAGCGCTGGTGGAACATGACAACTGCCCAGGAGGATCAAAAGCCATCAGGTCATGAAGAATTTACACACACAGGGAGCATGGCTGATGCATGTAACTAGCCAGGGTTGCTCAGATTGAAATAATCTGACTGCCAAAACACTGTCTACCCTGAATTTACAATGAAATCTGACAACTGGGCAGATGGAGTCTTGTCCAGTATTTTACTATGATGCTTTCTTCCATATTGAATTGTGCAGAAAAAAGTCAGTTGAATAAAAGAAGAACACGAGGAGGCACTTCAGAGAATTTAGGGCATAGAATATAGCATTTTGCAACAAAAGGTCTGACCACAAACACAATGTGTTAGATCATCAGTGAACCCATGTACATACTGTATATACATGTTCAATATACCAAAATGACAGTGAAGTCAACACCCTACTTGTAAATCTCTGCCACTCAATAAAATCATTGCCGTTGTTTGTAAGTTGAATGCAGTTGTAAAGAGGAATTAAATAATCTGGTAAATTGATTATAAGCATAAAAATTTCATGTATCAAAGATGATTTACTTATGGTGCAGCTCAAAGAACCAACCTCTGTAATATTTTGGTCCACAGCAGGACAGGAAATATCACTTTTTCCACAAGATTTTTCTGGGTCATGCTATATTTGTTGTCTTTGCTGGTCCAGACCTACAGAAATGAAATGCAAAAAAATCATTCGTAACTATAATGTGAACGTGATTAAACTTGTGCAGGCTATTTACCATAGATGATTTCTCAAGCAGCATAACTTTGAGATACTCGACAGTAGTAACCCTCATGGCATCTTGTGTAATTTGGGAAACAGAAAAAAATGTAAATATAACTGTGTCATCGTATTTATCCTATTGAGTATATAGGCTCTTTTTTATTTATTAAATTAGTGTTTTCATACAGTAGACAATGAGAAAGAACATGCAGGTTTTGTCACTTTGGAAGATGTGTAATATGACATGTAGGTTTGTCCTGACATTACTCATTAAATGTATGCAAAAATAAGTTTCATCTGGTTTTTGTACATTATTTTCTAAACATCTACAATTTCTGTGGTTTAAATTCAGCTCTGCCAAATTCTTCTTCTCTTTTGTATGCAGGATTGTTCTGACAGCCACTATTCGCAGGTTGTGTCTTCAGGGCAGGACTTTTTTGTGACATACCTATAAAATGCTCCTATTGTAGCAAAAACTACAGAAATAAAGCAACTGCTAAACTTCAGATTTTTGGTCACTTGGTTGCAGTGGAAATAAAGTTGACTACACATCACATCTAGCAGGTACACGCCAATGGTGTAAAAAACCAAACAAACAAAAAAGCCAGATTGTTCGAAGTTCCTGAGGCTTTGCAGGTATTTATTGGATCTGGCCTTCATGACAGATGCTCTGAGAGTTGTAGTTTCTAGTGGATGCCAGTCACCACATTCAGCAGACTGTTGATGTACTGACAGCACGTGGGGGTAAATACACACAGAATTACAAATAGTGCACATCCCTGGGGCTGTTTTTTGTGTGTTTATCAGGCTGTAACTACCAGAATCAGAGTTTGTCCAGGCGCTGAAATCCCTGGTTTTTCTTGCGCTAATGATTCAGACAGCAAGACATGCAACAGGTTGCGTTTTGTGGATCTTAAAAAGCACACTCTGGAGAAATTCCACCAAAGACCTTTACATCTTGGAATAAATGAGGTCATCACCTATCCACATTACGGGCTTCTCAACCAAGCTCAAAGGCAGCTGATCGAGGCCTCTGTGGGCATTTTTGTTTTAAGGTAAGGGCTGATACCAATTATATATATTATAGCACTGAATAGACAAGGCAATCTGAGAGAGATTAGTGACTGCAAAGTGGTGGTTGGAGAAAGTGTAGCCAGACAGCATCGGATGGTGGTGTGTAGGATGACTCTGGTGGTCAGGAAGAAGAGGAGAGGAAAGACAAAAAAGAAGACCAAGTGGTGGAAGTTGCAAAAGAAAGAATGTCATGAGGAACTCAGACAGAAGTTGAGACAGGCTTTGGGTGGTCAGGAAGAACTTCCAGATGACTGGGAAACTACAGCAGAAGTGATCAGGGAGACAGGTAGGAAGGTGCTAGGTGTGTCATCTGGAAGGAGGAAAGAAGATAAGGAAACATGGTGGTGGAACAAGGAAGTACAGGACAGCATTCAGAGGAAGAGGCTAGCTAAAAAGAAGTGGGACGTAGAAAGGACTGAA